TTTTGGGGTGGGATTGAGCCATTTTCAGTGGGATTGATCCACTTTGAGGTGACAGATTGATCCCTCTTGACTTTTGGGATGCAGAGCTGGGAGAGACTGGAATGTTAATGGTCCATGGCTCCAACACTCTCCAGTTGCAGAAGCAGTGGGGGCTTTGCTGCCCATGGGCAACAGAACCACCTGGGGCAGAGGGGGGAACATCCACCCCTGGAGGGGACAGGCTGGGCTTGGAGCCAGAGAGGGGAAGTGTTATTTTTCTGGTTTTATATCACTATAGACAGGAGCCAAAACTGCCCCAAACCTACTTTACATGGAGACAAAATTGTTCCAAACTAAACCCTACAGATAGATAGATAGACAGATATATTGATAAACTATCCTTGGGGGGAGGGGGCCTGTCCATTAACCTGATGGGCAGTGGCAGCTGCCAGTGAGTTACCTCGGTGCTGACACTGGCTCACAAACAGCTGCTGGACATAACAAAGCTGAATTGATTGCCCAGATTGCTGATGGCACCACAGTGGACCAGACAAATACTATCACCCACTTGGAAAGTCTGAGACTTCAAATTCCCACCGAAAAAGTAGCCGTGTGTATTCCCTCTGACACCTTGGCCACCCTACAGCAAATAAAGATGCTGAGGAGCAAAAAAGAGCTCCAGCATGGTCTGGGTTTATTTGCTTTTTGGAGAAAACACGTTCAAGACTTCTCCATTATTGCTGCCCTAGTGGCATCACGCCAGATAAGAAAAGGAGTTGGGTAAATAGATAATTCCTTCTTTTTAATAATGGGTCCATAGTGGGCCAGATTTCCTCTTTTTGCAGGAACCTGCCAGCAGATGAGATCAAACTGCGTGAGAGCGATAAAGCTTTCAATTGCTGCAATGGGCAGAAGAGAGAACTGCCCCCACAACTGCTTCAGTTATCAGTTTACAAGTATGCCATGAGAAAACGAAGTGGCAACAGGACTGGAGAGTTCTACTGTTCTTTGACAAGTATTTGTGTTTTTATCTTAATAACTTTGTGATATGCATGTCTGTGTGTATTTTTGTCTCAGTAGTTTTGCAATATGTAAAATTTATCACAAACATTGTGTTTGTGTCTCCTCTACTCCCAAAATTGCTTGTATGATCAGCTTATTAATAATTGTTGACTTATTTGTGTTTTTATCATGAGCAACTCACTGGTAAGATTGTGTGAGACAAGCCCTTTTATATATTGCTAGTTTAATTTTTGTCAAGTTTATTTTGTCTTTTTATTGAAAAACAAGTTGGCTTGGGAGAAGCTTTTAGATATGTACAATTCTGTCTCAATCAATTGAGAACCAAGAAACTCCACCAAATTTAGCCTGGGAGTTGGTACAAGAATCTATGCATATTTGGAATCATACAAATATGTATTAGATGCATTAACCCTCTGCCTCAGAAGGCATCAAATTTTATATTTGGTTAAATTTCTCAAAATATTAACAAATTAAACTAAATCTAGACAAAAGAAAAGAAAGTGTGACCTAAAGAGAATATAAGAAAGCCTTGTACCATCTCCCAAGTAACTCAGTGTATTTGCATAAGAACTGATGTGTAATTTCAGGTCCAATTTCAAGACACATTGGCCCCTCTAACAGACACATTATCATAGAATTCCTCACACCCACCACGCATTAAAGGATGCCCTGATTACTCACAGGGTGGAGAGAGTGGCTAGTGAAAATTAGATTTGTGTCAGTATTAAATCCTGATGTTTGTACCTTTGTTAATATTAGGAAATTTGATTGTAGCTATTGAGATCCTGTTATGTCCCATATGCTTACTATTTTACTGTAAGGTTTGGGTTTTTTTCGGGAATTGCATTGCATTGGGAAAAGATTTGTGCTATCTCATCCTTTTCTTTACTCTTCTCTCTTTCTGTCCACTACATGAAATGCGCCGCCCACAAAGAAGATTCACAGTGAACAACAAAAGAAGAGAAATTATTGAATGCATAAATCACGGGGTGGTGTCAGAGACTGAAACGGTTCATGATTTATGCATTCTAGGATTGCCAAGGGACTCTTGCAGGCTTCTACAGGACTTTTGCATTGTACCTCTGATGGCCCATCAAAGCCCATCCACCCCCGCCAATCCTGAAAGGCAGGAAAATCCCTTTTCCCAGGCCCCTCACGGGAACTCTGCGCAGGCCCAGGAGATGTTGGGGGTTCGTGGCATGGCCCGGGACACCATCCATGGATATAATAACTCAGAACTTCTTGCAGTGTGGGGGCTTCCCTCCCCCACCCCAACAGATCAAGGCCACCACTTCAACTCACAGACATGGAAACTGCAACTCCCAAATTCCATCGCTGGACCCCGGGGGCAGTGACTATAGACATCTTTCCACTTTCAGCTTTGCTTTCCCTTACTTTCCCTCTCCCTTATCCTGTCTTTCCTTTCTCTCCCTTATGCATTTTCCCTAAAGGTTCTCTTTATGCCATATTGCTGTAGATGAGAGATAGAGATGGTAACACCCAAAATGGCAACATACCTGTTTACCTTTGAAACAAAATTGTTCTGAAATAAACTCTACATATATATATTTTCAAACACCGATTATTCAGTGTCGTTTCACTCTAATCCACCCCAAGGGATTTATTGATAAGAACCTGGGTTACCCCCAACCCAGGTCTGGTAACAGACCCCTTGTAGCAGGATGTTCTACCTGGAAAAGAATCTGATGGGAGAATGCAAGCAATGCAAGCTCTCTGTGGGGAGTTACTGCTGGTGCCAAGGCGTTGGTTTAGTGTTGAATTGTGCCAAACCCAGCCTGGTTCCCCAACCTTCCAACACACATCCTGCTTTTGGAAGCAGAGTTTGACAGATCAGCTGCTCACTGGCCTGGCAATATGTGACTGGAGATCCATCACTGAATAAGTATAAAAGCCCAGGGCCAACTTTCATAGAGCAGATTCTCCCACAGACTTTGTTGAAGTGTGTGGAGCTTCTGCTGTGAAGCAGGGACGCCTCTTGATGGTCACTGCCCAGGGGGTAAAAGAAAGAGAGAGATCTGCCTTGATTTATCTCTGTTAGACACTGCCGGGCCCTCCCCGCTTCCTGCCCAGTCCCGGTTATTGGGGGGCAGTGGAGGAGGGGCTTGGGGGAATCCCAAGGGGTGGAGTTGAGTTTGGGGGGGGCAGAACCGGCCTGAGATGGATCGAGAATGGGGATCCCCCTGTGTCCCTCTGTGTCAACCCGCTCTGGGTGGGATTTGGGAGGGCACCTGCCCCTCAATAAAGCATCCAGCTCACACCAAAAGGTGCTGGGACCCCCAAAAACCTTCCCACGGCCCCTCAAAGACTCCCAAACACACTCAAAGCCCACCCAGGACCCCACCTAACCCCTTTTCTGGGGTGCTGGGGGCTGCTGGATTCAATCTCAGCCTTGGATTATGACAACACTTTCAGTTTAGAGGAATTACAGAGCTGTGACTGAAACACTTTGTCCCCCAGGTTTTAATGATGGCAAATCAGACCTATTGATAGAAATGAGTTATTTAGGGTTACAAATGATCAGACAAAAGATCTTCATCAGAATTATTTACTGCACAATACAAACACTAAAACTACCAGGAGTACAGGATAAGATGGGACAGTGCTCTACACTGAAGCAATTCTTGAAGCAATTCTACTCAAGCTGGCACAAAAGCAAGAATTCTTAATTAAAGATGGATGGAACTCCCCCAGACCAATGCTCAGGGGGAGATCTCTGCTCTCAACCCCCAGCAGTGACCTTGGGGGGTCCCCAGCCAAGGCAGGAATCTCCACACAAACCTCCAAGAAGGGTTCTGTTGGAATAACCTGCCCCTGTGAAAGGGGACTGGCCCTTTGTGGTTGAAAGGGATGGACTGACAGTCACTGGACTCCAGGGGTTGCCTCACCATCTGGGGCTTCATTCAGGGTGGAAGCAGCAGCCGAGGCTCTTCCGCAGTTGGGGCACTCATAGGGCTTTCCCTTACTTGTGGGTCTGTTGGTGTGAGGTCAAGTAAGAGCTGCGGGTGAAGCTCTTCCCACACTCCCCACACTTGTAGGGCCTCTCCCCAGTGTGGATGCGCCAATGCCTGACGAGGGTGGAGTTGTGCTTGAAGCCCTTCCCGCAGTTGGTGCAGCGGAAGGGCCTCTCATCCGTGTGTGTCCGCTCATGCAGGAGGAGATGTGCGCTGGTCTGAAACCTCTTCCCACATTCCAAGCACTTGTAGGGCCGTTCCCCAGTGTGGATACGCTGGTGGATGAGGAGATGGGAGCTCTTCGTGAAGCTCTTCCAACATTGCCCACATGTATAGGGCTGTTCCCCAGTGTGGATGCGCTGGTGGGTGCGGAGGGTGGAGCTGTCGCTGAAGCTCTTCCCACATTCCCCACACGTGTAGGGACGTTCCCCAGT